GTTGATAATATTCGTAAGTAACAGTTATACAGTGGGCCATACTATATACCGGAAAATAACCGGAAAACACCCGGAAAACACCATTTTTTACTGACTACCGGAAAACACCGGAAAAACAAAATTCGAGATGTCTGTCCTCTGTTGCACAAATTATGCTGCACTGTGTAAGAACTTGCATCCTTTGATCTGAAGATTGTAGATGGAAAAGTATCATTTGCACTATTTCAAAGTAAACCTGCATTTTCGTATATCATCCCGTAATTTGTGATTAATGACAATGACTGTGGAAATAATATGGGTTGAGGAACGGAAGATCTATGTTCGTCACGTGACTGGACAATTCCACCCCCGCCCCACCCTGACGATGATCCCTCCCGGAGCGGCGCTTCGCGCTCTCTAAACAAATCTCGGGCACAGTTTATCTTCTAAGTTTAATGTTCTCGAAATCCCCTATAATATTCTCGAGAATCTCCCATCCTGTGTTAACGATCTCGAGAATTCGAGTTAATGTTCACGGGATCTTGCCATCCTGTGTAAATGTTCGCGAGATCTCGGGTATTTTTATGTGTGCGCGTAGTTTTAACGTATTTTTTAAGCGCCCCAGAGCCTGTCGTTTCGGCGTTTAGCCCCCCCCCCCCCCACTACACACACACATCCCCGAAAATCTTAATAGCACGGTAGAGCCTACAGGTTTTTTTACGGATTTGTTTCAAATTTAGTGTATCCCTGTCGCTTCTGGCGCACCTTATCGTTCTGGAGTTATCCCCCTTATTTGAAAAACATGTTAACGCAATAGAGGCTACAATTTTGAACTGATTTTGTTTTTCAAATGTGGTGGGAAGCACTAGGACCTTTCGATTTTCAGTACTACGCAAACTCTGTTCGAGAGTTACCCTCTTTGTCCGTATTTCTTTCAAATATGTGACGATGAGAGGACGAACCCTATCGATATTCAGCATCCTGTGACCTTCTGTTCTTTAATATACCCCCTTCCCCACCCGCTCCCTGAAAGCTTTGGGGTCATGAACTTTATTGATATTCAATGGTTAGCCATCTTCCGTTCAGGAGTTATACTCTCCATTCTTTGAAAACCTTATTTTTCAGCAATATAAGGTTTTCTGTCTCAGAGATATAACAAGCACGTGAACACGATAGAGATTAGATTTCTTGATGAATGCTAGATCCTTATTCAATTTATTAAACAACCAAGTTTTCCTTTCGAATAATCTGCTGTTGAGGCATAGATGCTGCGTGGGCGTATCTCCACACTTTGCGTGGCTATCGTTCAAATTTCTTTTGAATCATTAGTGTCATAAGCAGAGGAACCCTATTTATTTTCGGCCGAACAATGAACCATATTGATTTGCAGCGCTCCCTGGCTTTTCGTTATGGCGTTATTCCTATTTTCCGGTAAACCTTGTGAACGGGTTAGAGCCCAGAGTTTTTCAAGATTTTTGATTTAAAATCTGCTCCGAAGCATTTGTGCCACAAGACAATAAACGCTGTGTCTAGCTTTCTTCTAAAACAAAATATGGTCTGAAAACCCTGCAAAAAATGACAAAGCTAACGTGGTAGGGTTTTGAATTTCATATTTGGTGTGATGTATTTTGGCCATAAGACGATGAACCCTATCGATTTTAATCATATTTCAAATTTAGTGTAAATCATGGGTACCCTATCGATTTTCCGTTTAATCTTTCACTAGTTAGCAGTTTTCCTTTGTAACAAATGTTAGAGTATTTTTTTTTATATCAAATTTGGTGCGAAGTATTGGGCCAATGGTTGTTTCACAACGTGGAGACACTATCTAGGTCCATTTAAGGTTTCATATTAACTCGGGATCTCGAGAAAATTTACACAGGATGTCAATATCTCGAGAACATTAACTCGAATTCTCGAGAAAATTTACACAGGATGTCAATATCTCAGGAAAATTATCAGGGGATTTCGAGAACATTAAATTGAGATCTCGAGAAAATTACCAGGTGATCACGGGATTTCGAGAAAGTATCACAGGATCGCGAGACCTTCTACAAAATTTTGCATGACCCCAATACGCTTCCGTAGTTTTTTTGTAAAACCAATTTTACGGAAAAATTCGAATTTTTTTTTTTTTCTGACAGAAATTTTTTTTCGTCAAAAAGATTTTAGAGAAAAAAAAAATCGGATTTTTTTTTTTTTGGGGGGGGGGGGGGTTGGGGGGGGTGGGGGGACTATTTGACCTTGACCTTCCTTCATCGGCGCTCACTTGGTCCAAAACCGCACACAGAGGACCAGACTCCGGGTTACTTATTTAGGGTGTTTTCCGGTATTTAGGGTGTTTTCCGGTATTTAGTGTTTTTCCGGTGTTTTCCGGTATTCAGTATAAAATGGTGTTTTCCGGTTGTTTTCCGGTTGTTTTCCGGTGTTTTCCGGTATATAGTATTGTCGACATTATCCGTAATAGCTTAATTGCTAACTTTCATTACCTATCTAAAATTTATAGATATGAGAATACAACCGGGAAACAATATGGCTCTAACAATAAGTTTATTTTTAGCCTAAGTAATGCTGATATTAAGTAGCAGCCCATCATATAATACCACTTTATGTCAAGCTATGGGCATTACTCTTCATTACTTATTGTAAAGTATGTTATTTTTTGGATGAACGTGTGTTCAGACAAACGTTAATATATAAGTAAAGTTAATAAAATCACAACCCTCTTAAAGACCCGTATGTCAAATACAATGTCTAAGTAGGAATCCTAGTGGAAAAACAATTTTGACCAATCGTTTACTGAACTACTTGCATTCGAACCACTTGTTTAGGATTTATCTGAATAAACACAACCATGAACCATTAATAATTTAGATAACATTTCAGGCACAAAGACCATCAATGGACAGTTTTAGCTCTTGGATAATGTAATAATGTATTTTTAATCAAGCAAATGTTTGCGCAATTAACTGGTTTTCCCAGATCATGTTTATTGTATTCCTCGATCAAATATTAATTTCTACCTATAATACTAATTGGAAAGCTGTTTGTTGAAACATAAAATATAAAAGCATCCGATTATGACGGGTCCCGCTTATCGTAATAGTAGAGTAGCCCTAAAGCATCCAGTATTTTCAAGCCCAACTTTTCATCGACCCTAGCGGTAAGTTGTTCTTTGTCTAAAATTGGGTTGAAATGTGTTAAAGCTGCATTGTGTACGATTTAGATAGGGAGCTGGTCCTTATAGTTATAATAGTTCAAATATAGATAATGAACAATCAAATTGCATCATTCTGACCGAAGTAATGAGTGTTGGAAACTGTTGCTTAGATTGTTTATTATCGTTTAAGTCTAGCTGGAGTTGATCTAGAGAGTTGATTCTGTTTTAATATATGTCTAAATAATAGCTTACTTAACATTTGAAGCCAATATAAAGACCTACATTAGACATATTTAGCTTTTACATAAAGCATCGGTAATATTGATATAAACGATGAATAGCTTATATTGAGTAGCAAAACATTAATTTCTAGCTCTGTACATCTCTAAATAAATGTATAGGTGGTTTACTTTGCTGGTGTGGAGGGCAATTTCTATAATTGTCGGGATATGTGACATTGTTGACGTAATACATGACGGATCATCTTACAGATTATACTAGTAAAGCATTCATTTCTAGCATTGTGCCCACCCCCCGCCACTTGTTTGCTCTGGGGTGGAGAGGGAGGGAGGGAGCAAATGATTGTATTGGATCCTTTCCAATTTTATTTCATTTGAAATACATAAACTATGCTCCCCCCCCCCCCCCAGTGGCACCGTATGATATGATCATTTTATCAAATAAGCAAACGGTGTAATTTATTCAATCAATTGATTTATTTAATCAATTAAGATATCAATTATTAATTTCCCTTTGAAATGCTTATTTAAAACCTTTCTGCATGCCGCATTTTATTGCTGGCTCCACTTGTAAAAGCAGATCTGTCCTGGCCTGTATTACAGTCTAGTCAAGATGAACCGCTCAACGACGCTTACAGTAAGTCTTACTTTACATGTGTAGACAGTTCTCACGTTTTGCAGACAGACGTGAATGACAGACTCTTTCCTGCACCAACGAACAGGATTGAAGACCCTGAAGTATCAGTTCCGGTTATCCATATCTTGGATATTTTGTATTTTAATGTTTTGTTCGGAGGGTGCGGGGTCTTTCTTGCTAACAAATCTTAATTATTTAACTTTCCAAATATGTATCGGCGATTCTCCTGCATATTTTGAAGTTATATCGAAAGCTACCCCGCCTACCTGCATGCTTAACGCACGTCGAGGATAATGTAGATTTAGTGTAAGCAGGTTGTTGAGAAATCTTTTTGTAAAATCAGCGTATAAAATACAAATTGGGAATGGAATCTGGCTTGCTTTAAAATCTCGAAAACCTGACAAATAACAGGGCCGCGTTTGACGTTATATAAGCCAATTCTTGTAGGCCATTACATGCTCGAGAAGTCCAAAACATAATCTTTAAGATTTTAAGTAGATGTATTTAAATTATCCATATTTTTTATTGCCAAGTTTTGCTGTTTAAAGGGGCATTATGGGAGATTTGTTGATCAAAATGAATAACGTAAATATAACATGCTCAGAATTTCAGTCAAACTGCTTCATTCTGAATCCAGATATTAGCTTTTAAATTTTAGGCTAGCCCCGATCATCATTACTAATGTCAGTACGATAATAAAAAAAAACAAAAAAAAAACAGCAAAGTCTCGATTATCCATTTTTACGTTTAATTATATTATTTTTCAAAAAATCTATTTCAATCCGCTAAATATCGCGGGCTAGCGATGACATCGGGAGTTGATTGTGGTCTGAATAAGTTAAATAATGTCTAATTAATCATTTAGATGACAATTCAGGCCTTAAGAAATACCTGCAATAGGCAGATTTAGCTTTTGCATATTGTATGTTTCAATCATCACATAATGTATTTATCCTTATTCATGTTTTTGTTTACTGCAGATGTTTATTCATCTTTGTTTTCTTGGTTACATCGCTATAAATGCAGCCCAGATACAGTATAGATACTTTAGTGACGATTTGTTACAACTAAAACGTTGTCCTGAGTGTACACCTAGAAAAGAGATTAAACCTACAATGGAAACACCACTGTGTGTTAAGTGCATGTGTGATTTAGATTGTATTCACTATGGCGATTGTTGTATTGATGTAATGATAAATCTCGGATTGCATTTACAAGAACCAAGATCTCACCAATTCAGCTGCATTTAACCGCAACTAGAAGCGCTTATGTCAATCTTACAAAATATGGATTCTTTCATGAATAGTACGGGAAATACCATTTCACTAGAAACGTTGACGTTCAAATTAAAAAATATGAATTCTTTCATGGATGGATATTACATGAAAACGCAGTTTATGGAAGATAACGGTACAATAAATAACTGTAGTAGACTCCCACTACCAGTCACTTGTAATATTACAGGTAACACGTACATCAACATGGAGTGTGCTTTTTTAAATAAGGAAGTTGGTTGTGTACATTGGAACCTACAACAAGAATGTGATACAAGTAATCCAATTCAGAAGTGTGAAACTTATCTTATTCCACCCGACTTTGCTGAACTGAGATATTGCGATGCTAGAAGAGGCCAGCCAATTATTTCGCAATGTCTATCCTATATGAGGGATTTTGATGAAGCGTGTGCTAAATATTTTTATCCTGTTTATGGCGAGGATAATAAGTTATATCGCAATATATTTTGTTATTTATGTAATGATAAACTGTTTAGTGCAGTTTCTCCTCCCAATGTGCCAACAATTGAAATTCTAACCCGTTCCATACCACCCTTTGCAAAATGTGATAATAAAAACGCTTGGATGGATTTTCGTGTGGTAAGTATATGATTTGTATGAGTTAAGATCACGGTTAGTTTCGTTTTATTCATTCTAATATACCCTTCATTTAATGGTTCAGGTATGTTAATGCATCTGTCTTTGTCCGACCCTTAATGTAAATCGATCGTTTTTTTTCGGGTAGAAATCGTGGAACAAGCTTTATTGTGTAGTTTTTTATGTTTGATGCCAAAAAAAATAATGTAGGTCTTCATAGTATGAGATACCATTCTTTGAAAGGTAGACATTTTGATTTAATATTCCAACTTATATTTTGTTTTCAACTAATTTATAATGTTATCTACATATCACCTGGGATTTGGCACTGTATTAGTATTGACAGAGGTGCTGACTATATTCAGATTTTTTCCCATCACTTCATAAAGATATTTTGGTGGGAATATGGGACGATGTCATATATATCGTAAACAAAAAAGTACTTGTACTTTATTTACTTTAATATATATATATATATATATGTATACAGAAAAAAAAATAAATAAAAACGTCAATACCATTAAATGGATCAAAGCAAGTTTTTGTGAACAGTATGTTGACATATTAGTGATTACTAGTAATTCTTCGCAATTCCAAGAGATTACGAGAAGGTTTAGAGTCTGTACACAGTCTATACATCAGAATCTGGTGTGCTCACCGCGAGTGTCAATAACAGCAGCGCAGCGTCTGCACATGGAGTGGACCAGACGATTGATGAAAGCCATTGGCACCTGAAACCACACTTTCAGAAAATCCTGGCGCAATTCATCGGCTGTGCTGTGTTTGGTCTCAGTACGACGTTATTAAGTCTCCCCTACCCCCTCCGAAGATGTTCAAGGGCTGGCCAGTGCATAACACCGTTCTGCTTTAGAAAGTCCCGAATAACTCTGACGGTGTGGGCACGGGAGTTGTCATGCTGAAAAACGTTGTTTCGATGACGTTTGAATTGTGGTATGACGTCGGGTCTGAAAGCTTGATCGATGTAGTACACTGCTGTGATACCGTCTCCTCTCTCTGGACCAAAATTTTGGAACACCACAGGACTCACTCTCTGGTTCAAAATGATTCCACCCCAACCCACTATGCTTAGACCTCCCCATGAGTCTCATTCCATGACACATTGGTCAGAATAACGCTGGCCACGTCGACGCCATATTCTGGTCCTGCCATCTGCAGTTGATACGTAATATCAAATCTCATCTGTGAACAGAACAGTTCTCCATGCCTGTGTCACCAGTTCTGGTGTTGCTGGGCAAACTGTAGACGTTCACGTCGATGGCGAAAGGCGAGGATGCCTGTGTGAAGGGATACTGCACGTGCTGTCGCACAACATGGCGGTCTTGGCGCCTTGAGGTAACCCTTGCCCTAGCAGTTCGGGGGCGACCATCCGTGGTGTTGGTGCGCCTGAAGCCTGTAGATAGTGCGGACATTGGCAACGGCTTGGCCAGTGTGGCCAGCATCGAGTCTTCCAAGCGCCTGGTACGTTTGAGCTGTCGTGAGTCGCGGCATGCTGGTGACGTTGGAGTGTGAATGATTCAACCAGGTATGGGGGTGCATTTTATAGGGCTGGTTCCGGTGAACAGCACGTGCAGATGAGTTACATGAAAATCTAAGAGAACACATTACCATCTCAGAAGTCAGGTTGCGTTCTTGAGAACTTTTCCTGGGTTCAATTCTGTGTTTGGGAAGGAGCCTTATTGCTCGGGTAAAGTTGGAGATGTGGTCACAAATATATAATAAAAACATTTGGCAAGTTCTATGCAATGCGTCTACCAACCTGACGTTTCTTTTGCTGCTTAGTATATATGTAGTAGTCGTGTTTTGTGTAAATATATTATTATGTTTTCGGGGCACAGAAATTGACACGCTTTTCATGCTCCTGCCACGACCACAGCAGCGCTTACTACGCTCATGGCCAAGCTCTGGCTACGTGCACCATCCTCCCATCGTCAGACCGAGATACGTTCTCACCACACTCCCGTGACGTGCATACCAATCGTAGGCCGTTAACTCGCCACGTCTATAGAGACTGCACCAAACTCACTCCTTCCCCATTCACTTTCAAAGCAGAGAACAGTCAAACGTCAAGCAATCAAGAACATTTTTTAGTTTCATTGATGTTTTCTCTTTGGGTGCTAGACTGGAGCAAACATGTGGCTATGAGCTTCGTTCCAGTCTGGCGGAAACGTAGTTTAAGGTGGAGGAGACGTGGCTGAAATACTTCCTAAGAAGCCATCGTGGCATAGATTATGTTATCAACTGATTCCAAGCTGGTGATGGCAGTGATGTCATAAATAACAGGTCACGTCGTCGTTTAAGTGGTGATATAGTTTGTTTTTCCAACGCAACAGCATTCCTCTTTCCACACAGCATTCCTCCTTCCACACGCAGTTTTGGGTCAGCTGATTATATAATCTATGCTACAAAGGTTTTTTTATAGCAAGTATTACTATTTCATTTGCAATTTTATTTCTTTATATACGGCTTTATATTTAATATCATACATTTCTCTTCTACTTTTTTAAAAGTTGTAAGTCTCACATTTTCAACCATCCTTAATTGTTTATCTGAAGTCTGAAAGTCTCGATGGCGCCACCAAGTTTTAAAATCAGTCCAACTACTAAAACGCGACCGGCCAAGTAAATGTGCTATTTTCGTGGAAAATCGATATTAGCCCAGTAGTCAATTCAGATGGATAATATACCTATGGGATAAACACGGCACTGGTTTCCAGGAACCTGCTACAGGCTTCTACATAGCAGAATTGGATTCAGAAACCTTTTCAGTAATGTGTTTACAAAACGCCATGTCACAAAAGGCAGCCATATTAGAAATATCCTAAATATATCAACATGTGATCATTTTACATAGATATATAAACGGCAGATATGGAATCTGTGCCCCGAAAACATATAGTGACACAAAACACGACTACTAAATCAATATGCGCACATCGTCCCATTTTCCCGCCAAATATGCAAAACAGGTGAACATGCCAGTTCTAACTGGCAGAAATGGAATCTGTGTTCCTGAAACGTATATAGTTTGACACTAAAGACGGCTACTTAAAATCAATATCGGCACCTCGTCCCATCTTCCAGCCAAAAATGGCCGCCATTCTGGAATTTGCAAAATATAGGTCAACACGTGATCATTTTACACAAATGTAACCAGTAGAATGGAATCTGTACCACTGAAAACATATATATTGACACCAAACACTACTACTTAATCAAAATCAGCACATCGTCTGATTTTCCCGCCAAAAATTGGACGCCATCTTGCAAATATCACCATGAAGTGATGGAAAAAAAATCAGAAATATAGTCACGACCCCTGCCAAAAATACTACATTGCTAAATCATAGTTGGTATGTCGATAACATTATAAAAAAAGGTGAAAATAAAAAAATGAGTTGGGAAATTATCGCAAAATGGCTACCCTGAAATAATGGCCTCCCATACTGTGAAGACCTACTCAGAAAAAATGTCAACTTTGGTTTTTTTGTTATCAAACCCTTCAAAAAAAGCTTATTCCGCGATGTCTCTCCGAAAAGCAAACAGAAGCGAATTATGTAACAAACCGAATCGGACTATCACGTCTTTAATAGCATTTATTTTTGTAATAACATGATTACAAATGGGACCTACGTTGGCTAAGTGGGTTAGACACTGGCTCGCTAGCCAGGAGGTCGCGTGTTCGATCGGGATTTTCAAACGTTGTTTCCTCTTGTCAGTGGTGCAGAACAAAGGGATTGACAAAGCACAGCAGTTTGGATGCGACGAAAACCGAGGTCCCGTATACACATTGGCGTGCACGTAAAATATCCCTTGGCAGTTGCAATTCGATATTAGAGTAGACCATAGTGCCTCTGCCCGGGCACAATATCCCTCATAGCACACTGTATGGCCGTCTTAATTAGCCCAGTGGAGGCAGAACAGTAGGACGATAAACCCCATTTCATTTCATGACTACATATGCGTTTTTTTAAAATAATATTGTAATCAAGATACAGACCCCTTTAATTATCGAGAATCCCAACACTGGCGTATGGGCATTTGCTTAACGTTATAACTATTAGAAAATAATATCTGTAAAAATGTATCTAGTTGTTAGTTTGTAGTCTCTCTAAAATAACAATTAGTCCAACAATTGTTTAAATCCGTTCAGTATCCACAAAGATAAATGATAAATTGAAAATTTGTCAACATTCAGAAACTCTTGATGGGCTTTTAATAATAATAAAAATATCCGACTGAATCCAAGTAATGAAGTAATGTAACGTTTTGTAGGGTGCACCATAATATATTTCATATACAGAGAACGGCTAAACCTGCTAACTGAAGCTATTAGACAAAAAATAGTTTCAAATATAATCTCCGTTCGGAACTGTAATATTTGATCTGTCTGCAGCTTATGGAAGCCATACTGGCTCAGCGTTAAATCGATGGATCACTAAACATGAAGCTGAGAAAGTTCCCTGGAATATTCCTTGGCGTCTGGCAAGGATCAACGTCTAGTATTTCGGGTGGTACGAAACAAACATGTCCCGTAAAATAACCCTTGATAATTGGAGAATTCAATTGCTGTCTGGGCAGATTTTCCCTCGTGTGCATAGTTTGAATTAGGTTATGATATAAGACTCAATTAACGTTGAAGTAACATATGTTGAAAAAAACCATACTTACACTTCTGTCTATTTGTAATTTCAGAATAAATGTCGACAAATTAGATGTTCCACCAACAAGAGATTAGATGATGACTTCTGTGAATATGATAATAAAACCGCCTTCGGTAATTCCTACCATTTGCTAATGAAACTAGATTTGTGGACAAATGACAGAATCCCATTCCTAAAGCAATTTCTTCTGCACACCATGACCAAGGCGTCTTTTGACATCATGACTTCGATGTATCATATGTCATATTCGAATCCGATTGAGGTACAGAGTAATACGTTCGTGTATATAAATATTTGGTTTACAGTCAATAGCAACATGTCGTTGGAGGATTATGAAACCTATATTTTGGGGTATCATTATATCACATCAGTTGGAAATAACTGGTATGGATTTCCTTTCAAGTCTAAAGCTAATCATTCAATATTAAAACTTTCCGAGTACGAATTCGGAAACTTCGTCCCGAATTTATCAACTAGTCTGTGCTGTGCAGTAAACAATAGCGCCGTTTGGTACAAAGAAGACTATGAGTCCATAACACACCAGTTAAGGTGTTCTTACATTGAATTTGATGCTAATGAATATGTATTACGTAATATGACTGCTCGCATAGACCATCTAAATCTAACTTTAATCAGGGGAGAATTTTCCATCTACGGAGACCAACTCAGGGTTTGTTTTGAGTTGGTCCTTAATAACACTGGTTTTGTTGATAGCAACGAAGTCGATGGTATCAAGTCTTACGTTAGTATAATTTGCATAACATTATCATTAATAGCTTTAATGCTAACTTTCATAACCTATCTAAAATTCAGAGATATGAGAACACAGCCGGGAAAAAATAATATGGCTCTAACAATAACCTTATTTGTAGCTCAGGTGATGCTGATGGTTAGCGGCACTCCAGCAACTAATACAATTTTATGCCAAGTTATGGGCATTACTCTTCATTACTTATGGTTAAGTATGTTATTTTGGATGAACGTGTGTTCATATCACATGTTTAAAGTTTTTGTATTACACACTTTAACCAGGATGGAGAATTCAAATGGCATCAGACAAACGTTAATATATCTTACTTACGCCAATGGAACACCCATCCTTATTATTGTAGCTAATATTGTTACCAATTACGTATTATCCGATGGCGCTATTATTGGTTATGGTGGGAATATATGTTATTTATCTACTCCTCGATTGGTCCTGTATTGTTTTGTTCTACCTTTAAGTCTTGTTATTTTAACGAATATTATATTCTTCTTGTGGACGATTTGTATTATCCATCGTGTAAAACAAAGTGGTAAACAAACCGGGGATAGAAATAACATCTTCGTTTACCTTAAGCTGTCCGTAGTAACAGGATGCTTTTGGTTATTCGCCATCTTATCAAATGTCGACAGTCCTGTTATGACTTATATATCTATTATTCTGAACTCGTCTCAAGGAATTTTCTTATTTTGGTCATTTGTCTTGAATAAAACCGTGTTAAACAAATGTAGAAATTCTACACACGGTACAACAAGCTCGTCTCAGCGTTCTAATGATGACTCAATTACCAGAGAAACTGCATTAAGCTCGTGATGCATTCCAGAGCATAGACTCATTAAAAGTGCAACATCATTAAGATTCGTAGGTTAGGCGTAAAACCAAAACACATACCAGGGCATACTTGCCCAATATCGAAATTGTGGCAATTGACTAATGGCTTTGGCAACATCACAGTTCTGGACGAAAAAAAAATATTTCAAAAAATGAATAATGTTTCAGATTTCATAAGCGTTCAAAACAATCCCAACAGCCAAGACAGAGGTTATTCCTTTCTAAAGGACTAGCACAGTTCATTTCTTATTACTCCATTTTTGCTAAATTCGTTCATTAGTTTTTATTGCTTTTTATTTGGTCTCCTGTTTAGGAATATTTGTGTTTCTACTTTTTATTTATGCTTGGTTTGATCGATATTATTATTGTTGCACTGTAAGTAAGTGAGTCTAAGAAAGTTGTAGAATCTTGGAACGGTACCCTGCATTATAGTATCACATCTTTTAAATAATAATGATTTAAATTTACACCTTTTTTCAATTATTCATATTATCACCTACTTTTGTCGTCCTCTGGTCCATCTGTAGTGTACAATTGGTTGTAATCTTTAAACGGAATTTTAAAACTAAAATATAGTGATTTGTTCATTGGCACATAAAGAAGAACCATATCGAAATTTACCTGTTCCATTCGACGATTAGGGCCATTAGAAGATCGCTACCCATATTCGAACTTTTTAGCCATGAATTTCCTATGGACTTCGGCGTATTAAATTTGCTAGACAGGATTTGTTGTCATTGTATTTTATGAGTTCGATGTTACTCGTGGTGGTATTCACATTTTTCTTACTGTCGATGTACATCTACACAGCGGTATACAATGGCATACCCAGCTGGGTGGTTCCTTGTGATGTTTTAACACTTCTTATTTTTGGCATGTACATATTTTAGGTATTTTTGTTTAATATTTGTTTATGTATTAAAGAAAAAAAAATGTTTTCTGTAAACTAAACACGCTATTTTCAATTCGTGAAATTGCATTATCAAATTATAGGATATATCGGTTTTGCGAATTTACTATCCCACACACCGTGCCCACAGCGATCTCTTATCTTCCCTACACTGACATCAATTCCCGCAGTGGGTATGCAAACATCGGCTAACTTTTCGCTTTGATTTATAAGCGAGCATTTGGACTCGGTTTAGGTTGACTTATATGATGATTATATCTAGATGTCTCGACAATTTTAAAGTGTTAGCATGGGCAACTATACAGCCCATATAAGATTATATGACATAATCAAGGGTTTGTTGAAATTCCATTGGATTTCTCTTACCCCTACCACGTCTGCTAGATCAGCCTGTGAACACCTTTTTCACAAGCAAATAATGATAGCGTTTCCCTATTTACTGTTATTAACTAGGTTTCCCCATTAGACTGAAAATGTTCTGTAAGAATGGACTTTCCGTGGGTACTGGGAACCTGGCCACGGGACACAATGGCGAGCTTTGCGTGAGTCACGGTTTGGAGTATTTGCATCCCCTTGAGTTTTTGTGTTCAATCGCAAATGGCAAGCGGCTTCAATGCGGTTTTCAACATAATCACAATAATCATAATAATAATGATTTAAATCGACTCTAGTATGTTCCACACAGTCCAATATGGCACTGGCCCCCCCCCCCCTCACACACACACACACACACACACACACATATAAATATTTTTTTTGTTTGCTTGGGGTTTTTTGGTGGGGTGGGGAGGGGGGTGCGCTTTTGTTTGTAATGTTTTAATGTGCTGGTTTGCTTGAATCGCTTTGTTTGTGTCATTTCTCGGGGTTGCTTTGATAATGTTGTTTTTATGGCGATTAATATGCTTAACGTACGCCGACTGACTACGTTTTAATACTTAACGACGTAACATTACAGAATGTTTAAATTGTTAAATGGATATGACTACAAAAGATTCTGATAAAAACTACAGTTTTAATTATTAGAATATTGTCGCTTATCTTGCTTGCCTTTTTGCAAAACATATCATTTAGTAATATCCATAATATTTATGTTGTAAGTGCTTTTTGTGAATAAATTTTGTTAACGTCCACAAACTGTCTTGTTTGATCATACTTAGATAGCCTGGCAAGGAAAAGCGTATAGTCGTTCAGGTGGGACGAAAAACCGCGGTCCCGTATACACTTTGTTGTGCACTTAAAGTTACAATTTCATATTTTTAAGTTATATTTTTAAAATGTATTAAAATAAAGCCCTAAAATAGATTGTATCTATAAACAGTCCTACCTTGTTAAAGGATAATCCTATTAATCCTATAATTCACTATTGCCAGTTGAGAAATTGGCAAAAATATCATTTTCAACTTCAAATTCAAAAGTTTGAAGATAGCTATTCCATGGTGGAGAATAGAAAACAAGGGAGGTAATCGGGAGGTAATTGTGTTATTATTTCCGGTGTAAATGAGTTTTAAGTGTGAGAATGACACCTATGATCGGTGAGTTGACAACCTATTGAGCAAAAGACATAGAAATAATTATATTTTGACTTTCTTAGAAAATATGAAATTGTAACTTTAATAGATCCCTTGCAGTTGGAATCCGATATAAGAATAGGACAATTTCACTCATCGCACACGGTATGGCCCAGTCCAAGCAGAACAGTAGGACGTTATTTATTATTCTTACAGCTCTAACTCAATATTATTAGAAGCAAGAATTATTGGTTCATTCCAATCAATATTTATGTTCTTATCTTGCCGTGAACATATGGGGTTGTTGTACTAAGTTTTTAACGCCCGCTTCAACCGAAGGTGATATCGCAGACAAGATGTCTTATTTCATTTTTTATTATTTTAGCGCACGCGTAGGGTTCTTTCCTGTGGAAATGCATCCCTATCTCCAAACCACATACGCTGACCCCAGGGATCGAAAGCACAACCGCAAGCCAGAGGTGAACTGCCAGTTAAAGAGGTCGAAGCGTGACACTCTAGGCCACTAGGCCATCCCAAACCCCCTAACATATTATGGGGTCTTGATATCCAATATTTAATGAAGACGATAATTGTTTCAAATATTACTCTATTGTTTTTGTGTTTTGATACACGGGATCAGATAGATAGTTGCACGATAGAGTTACACTTTTCATTAACCATTCAGTTAACTGATCAAAAGGTATAAATATATCGGTAACAGAGAAGCGAAAGTAACAATTTTTTTCGGACAATATTTATAAACAATTACATATTTGAAATTAGCAGTTAGCATGGCGCTAGAGACACGGAACTTTATCTGTTTAATCATTTATCTGTTTAATTTTTTACAATCGGTCCAGAACTTTTTATTTTATTGCTGGTTTTATATACCCACATGTAAGCAGGGAAAGATGATAATTTGACTATTTGACTGACTGACTTTGGGGCAGACTCAAATTGTACACACATGTGCTAGATATGCACATTTGTTAAAATCAAGCACAAATATATAGTTTTTAACTTTTATTTAGAAAAAATTTAAAGGATTGGGAAATATGGCTTATTTGACTAGTTATGAAATATCAAATAAAAGATGCAACTTAATCTAAAATTACACGAGTCGTAAACAAACAAAAACCTGTTAGATTTCGGTAGATGATATCAAAGTACAGTTGGACGACCGTGCAAAAATGCGAGAAAATAATTAATATATTGACAATTTTAATTCATTGAGACTGAATTTTGTAATAATATTGCTAGAATTTTTGCTCTTGAAATTAATGGGGGCAGTATATTTCATTAATTAATATCTTTGGTGGCAAGTAATTAAATTCACATACATGTATATGTAGAATTGTACTAAAATCAACTTAGTGAATAAAGTGACAGTTGACACATAAAAAGAGTTATAGAGTCAAAACATAGCTGGTTATATGTGTCAATAAAATACCACGAGATTATACGTGCTGGGAAATTTACTAATTACCTCATTTGGCTAAAGTAACCAATCATATCAGAAATTGCACAGGTTCAAGGCTATGAACAGGCTTTTCTGTGCATGATATCCATGAGCCCTATAAAAGAAATCATAGTAAACGGTACGGCTATTCGGAGATGTCCCCCATTACATAGAGTTGTGTCTGATTATATTCCTCTTTATAACAAAACTTGCCCGTTGTCATTTTGTATTTGATGTTTGAAAATCTTAGAATGTAACAACAGTCGTCATACGATGTTGACTGCTAAAAAATAATACTATTAATAGCACTCGTCGTAGTCATACGGCAAAGTCAACGGACCTTGTTCTGACTTTTGCTATTGTTAATCCAATCTAAATACTTCTCGGCATTTCTAACTATATTCTACCTTGTTTATTATTTACTTCAAAACGTAACCACCATTCAAAATATAATCATAAAGGCTAGAAAATGACATTATACTAGATTCGTTACGACATTCAACACGTTTCATATCTCGTAATTTCTCGCAAGATTCTACTTTGGTTTTTAGTTAAATTAACCAATCATAAAAATTCTACTTGCAAGCGAGGAATTATTTCTTTATTGTCCAATCAATAGACGCCTTCCAATTTACTTTATTCTATTCTTAGTAACATTGTGTAATCGTAATATTATCGCCATCTGTCACGTACGAAGGGAACCAGAGTACTGTTTTGTATATTATCGTTATATTGAATTAAAAAATATTTCAAATGAACCAAGTTAACCAGGTAAATAAATAACTACGGCCTTAGATAGTTTAAATTTCTTCAAAGAATTGTACATGTCTGAAAAAATTCCTGTAATGCCTTTTACTAGGCGAGTATAGCGTGCGCACGAGTAATGACTCGCACCTCCTGACAAGCTCTGTTTTATGTTTAAAATTGATACCATACGGTTAACGGTTACTAACCGGTTAATAGCTACGGCTATTCGAATAACAAAAAGTCCTAACCGTAGGAGCACTAGTAGTAAGAAAATATGCATGGCCCGCTCTCCACGTCTGACTAAAGACCCATGGTGCTACAATTTGTTATTTACGAAAGGAAGAAAAAACAGTACCTCCTGGTGTAAAACGGATGGGGAATGTTTGACACGCTTTTCGCCATTACAGTATTTTACTTTTACGTCCTCTTATGGAAATAAATGAAAGTGAATCTTATAAAGGAATATTTCATCTATATTTTAGCACGAAAGGAGTTACAAAATTTCTAACTTTCTAGGCCTAATCGAAAGTAAAATAAACCTCTTACCTTGTTATTTGTTACAAAATTCTCATGCCTCACAACCTTGACTTCTTAACTGTTTTCAGTTGAATGTAACCGGTATCAATTGCAGGAAACAAATACGAGACCTTTACGTAAGACCTACTTGTCGCGAAAAAAATACGCCATATTTGTAACAGCGAATTAAGAAAAACGAGTTACCTCTCTTTTAGGGTTAACACACGCTACTAATATAGCGGGGCATTCGTCAAGAGGGAATCATTACGATTCCGCCCACTGTTCATCGTATACCTCCGGTCGGGAGTCCTTATACGTGCACCTGTAGTAAAAATAACGTAGGGTCTAATTAAAAAGGTATGTGTGAAATAGCTGTATTTAACGTCTGCTTCCATCGAGGTGATATCACAAACAATTTAAAAGGGTATGTCTGTGTGGGTTTATATTTTAGTGGAAAAAAAATCACGTGGTTTCAATGCGATTTACAAAAATCTTGTGGTTTCAATGCGATTTACAAAACTATACTTGTCTCCATTACTTCACCAACCCTTGCAGGCCTCTGGGACCCTGAAATACTGTTATCAATTGCAGACATTTTACAGAAAGGGAGATAACTACATGTATCTATTACCGTTAATGGTCTCAGACTAGCAATTATTTGCCCATTGACTTCAGTGTTAAATGGCTGTAACATCACAGGCTGTAGCTTTTTGCTCAACATTCCGTTGGTTCCAATCTTTATAGGCACAATGGGGACAACATTTGGCAATCTCCTTATCATAATTTTGTAGGTAGTTGACCATTTAGATTTTTTGCTACGTGGATTTGAAGTTGACTGGGGTGAAAATCTCACTTCCGACACAATGATTGCTCTGCAGAAAGACACTTTACACCCCCTATCCCTCCGCTGTAATATCATCAGTATTACCCAAAACTGCTATGAAATTGCTAATTTGATCCCTTTTCTCCAATTCTTGACCAAAAAGTCAACCAAAAAATGCAGGAAGAGGGGAGAAAAAAATTATGGGAAAAATTGTCTATTTATAACTCGCACTACATTCGTAAGGGGAAATAATTACTAGTCTTAGTCTTAATGGATTATGTTTTCTGCATTTTGATTTAAATCAAGATTTAACCAATACCATATTCTTTACCGAGGATGAAGGCATTGAGTGTTTTCGCCAATATTTAATTTTATGTCAACTTCACAATTGTTAGTATAAATATCGTATTTACTTGGCAATTATCACAATTTTCATCTGGCCCTAAATCCGAGTTATTGCAAACATTTTGCTTTGAACTCTATGTATTTGAGTTCCTGGTGTTATAAGCTTTTCAACAAGAGCATCACTAACGCTGCAATATACGTCCACATTCCTGCTTTGATTGATATGGTACTTTTTAAAATGAAGAGAATGAAATATGAAATAGCTGCAATATGATAAGAGGCAAAAAAGGCTAGGCGTTGGTTTGTTTTGCAAAATTTACAGACAAAATATTAACAAAAAAGTGGGCGAGACACTGGCCCAGGCGGTTGTTGTCTTTACGGTATAAGGAATAAATATGCAAAGTTCCAAGATGTTGCATTCGGAATTGCAGCCTGTAGACAATAAATACAAAAATTGGACGTGCCTCTGCCCGTGGGGGTTGGATATGGAACAATATAAATAGGTACATCCCTGTTATTGAAATGATTGATATGCTGAATTTGATCTATTTCATTCTATACTTATCTAGTGACAGTAAATTATTTTTATGAATTGTCAGATGACCTCTCACACTCACACAACAACTTTTGGTCTTCGAAGGAATTATTAGTGAGCAGAAATACGCCCATGTATA